AAGAATATATTGAGTACATTTATTATATTGATGTAATTTAGACTTAGGTTTTTTTCACATCGGTTTACTGTATGATAGTTGAGTTGTTGCAGCCCCTTTGGCGTCCATGCACTAGGTGCCTCTGTGGATGTGTAGGCTTTGACTTTAACATAGCTATTTCTGTGAGCAGTCACAAGCTAATCCCTCAACTGTTTCAATGCTAAATTCTCCTGTTTGATATGTAAACCCCTTTGTCAAGGTGCCTCACTTCTCTCAACCAGCTTAATAGACGCTGCAAATCTTAGCAGCGTTCATTGTAGCTCTGTCGTCCCGACAGGTTTGTTCCTTTCACCTGAAGAAGGCCACTTGTGTTGTGGCCGAAACGTCGTGATAATTTTATTGTTTTATTTTATTATTTTATTCTCATTCTACGTGACTTTACCGAAAGAACCAAAGAAGAGGAAAATAACACAGGTTGTTAAGATGTACAAACACCAAATGGATACCTTTTCCGAGGAATCACGTCCGCTTGAACCACACACGGGACACGTGGGGAACCTGTAAACTAACGCGCTCTGCTGTAATATACTTGCGTTGTCTTTGACACCGATTGGCCTAGACCAGAGAGAGCAGCCTTCTTTTCACTCTTCCCTCCCTCCCGCTTCTCCCCAGCCCCTGCTCCCCCCACCCCCTCACCCCCTCACTCCCCCCCCCCCCCATCTCTCAACCCCTCTTTAAATTGTATTTCAATTTGCGCCATTGACGTCATGGAATTAGACACAGCGCCCCATTCGGACCTCTCGCAGAGCGAGTGCGTTGCCTCATTAGAGAATCCATGACCTGCGGAAACAGATATAACCGAACTAATTCTGAGATCCCTTCGATTTTTGTTTTTAAATCGACACACCAGAGGGCGCTACGACTTTCCCACCAGGACCGGTTACCCGTAAATGTCGTCACGTGACAGTGAAGCCCATTGTTTGTCTGTTGTGCAATCATATTCGTCAGCGAACTGACACCATCACCTCGCAACACTTGAGAATCCAACGTAATCGCGCGCGGCTGAAGCCGGCTTCGAACCCAGGTTCTAAGTGGCGTAATTCCAATATCACTATTTTTTTTTTAATCCACACCAAATAGGCTACTTAACAAGACTCAACCCCGCTCAGCGTTCGACAGGACGGGCGTATTCGGGACGATTTTACTCGTCGTGAAGAGGCAGCACTTCCGCCAATTCCATTATCGTTGGGCAACTGTTGTCTTATTTAATTCTTCTCAGGGTCAGGGTTTAATTGGCATGTTTAGCCAATTCTCCCACGGGCATTTCGTAAAGCGTCGGAGGAAGCGCACGCGGAGATAACGCGCGTAGATGGGGTGAGAAACGCTCATGCCTCCCGTACAGATAGGTCAGAAACCGACTTGCTGTGCCGCCTCCTTATTCATGTTGGTGGTTCAAGCATGTGGTCTACCAACCACACCAGGGGGACACTTGTCATGGATAATGGAGAATGTCAGCTTTGAAATGTATTTTTGCGTATTTGTCTAATGTTGGTTTAACAGGCCCTGAATGGTTGTGTGAACAAGAAGGTTGAAATCAGCCCGAGTTTGCTCGCTTATACAAATGCTGCTGCTGTTGTATAATATTGGTGCAGAAGTTCAATATAGACCGATGGACTAAAATAATATTTGATTTCTTGTGGAGAGACAGACATTTATATAAAAAAATATTGTTATTCCAGTTGCGGTCAATATTGATTTAAGCCACTCATCAGTCACGCCTAACTTCAATAACAAACAGCCTGCATCGGAATGACCTAATGAACAGCTGGAACCACTATCGGCCCTCGTGAAGCCTGTCCCAGTGGCATACCGTGGGTGGCGGTGGTGCAAATAATGAAATGAGGCTCCCTGTCTCATTCCTCCCATTCTCCGTATCCCAGCGCCTGGGTCACCCATCTCGTGCCTGTACACTCGCACAACTAAGCCACGAACGACTACATTAGACTCATGCTATTGTTCGTTTTAAAAAATAAAACTTTTTTTTTATTTTACCTGGCAAGGCCCTTTGAACTATGTAGTTCTTCTTCAGTAGCGACCTGGCCACAAATGATAGCTCAACGAAGTGGCTTATCATGTGGAAATGTATAGCAGCCAAATACTTTAAACGCATATTGATTCTAAATGTGGAGAGAACATCCTGAGGACCCGTAGAAAAATCCACAGGTTCGCGGGGAGAACATGTAAACCCCAAATATACAAGCGTCAGGGTCGGGCTCGAACCCACGACCTCCTGTATACGAGGCGAGGTTGTTAACACTCCACACGGAAGGCCTTGGGAATTTGCTCTTAGACAGCAGCCTGCGTTTGCCATTTTATGGCTTGAAATCACGGGAGGGGTTTAAGAGTAACCATATGGGGAGTGAGCTGCAATCTAAATGTCGTGAGTATATCTGCCACAGTAAATCTTTGCATTGCATGCAATACAATATACAACGGGCCCGTCTGCGAGATTTGACAGACATCCCGCAGACGATATACCAATTTTTAAACACAATCAGAGGCTTTGTACATTACGTACGTGCAAATAACCCCCCCACCTGAGATAATATATTGCTAGGCTGCGAAAAATGGTAGCAAAACGCGAACTGCTGTCATATATTTTGTTTTCTGCAGTAAACTCCACAAGACGTGTCGATGGCCACATTAAATTACCTCCCGCAGTTCTCTCTCGCTCTCGCCGTGCAGGACATGCTGTGTCCTTGAACTGTAACAGCAATGCCCTTTAAAGACCCAGAAAGGCCTCGCCTAGTCTCCAGACTGTTATTATTTTTACTGACGCGCCCCTGCACTGACAGATGCTTGGCCAAATAGCATGAACAAGCGATTGGCTTCGTGTGGGAGGAAACCGGGGTACGTGGAGAAAGCCCACCACGCATAGCAAGAGATAACACGACGCACATATGGATTCAACGCGCTCGCTGTATTGAAGCCACATGTGAACACCTCGCATCCCCCATCTGATTTTGGAGTTTCACTGATGTGCGAGCCTCATAAAGCGAGCCTCCAAATTGCAAGATCCTGTGGTGCTTTCTCAAATTCATCGCGATCCCACCACAGTTCGTCGATTAATGTTCAGCAATCTTCTCGATTTGAAATCAAGTCGCGACACACGGCACGTGCCTGATTATTTTTAAGCATGTGACTTTGGTCATGGGACCTCCTTTTCCAGTATCAAAATATAAGAATAGGTTTTACCCTTTCTGGCAACAAAACAGGTGTTAAGATGTTAAACACCAAACTGAAGCCTTTTGCAAAGGAATCATGTCTGCATTAACCATAAATACTTGTGGTGAACATGCAAACAAAACAACATGCCAAAATGCTGTTCGCCTTTCGGCGTCCTCTGGTCTAACATTGTCTGAGACTAGCAAATAAATGTATCTGGTGTGGACCAATCAGTTTTCAAGGACAATGCGTATATTACCAGAGCGTGTTTTTTTGTTTGCATGTTCACCACAAGTACTGTGTGTGGTTAATACATCCAGGATTTCTTGGCAAAAGGTTTCAGTTTGGTGTTTTAACATCTTAACACCTGTTTTATTGCCAGAAAGGATAAAAAAAATTATTCTTAAATGTGACTTGGAGATTTAAAATGTCCATCGGTTCTCTGTACGTCACTTGAGACGTGTTTAGCAATCGTCTGGCATGCGCAGTGTGTATGTTTAATTTGTACATTATTTCAAAGGAGCCAAATTGGTAAACTCGAAAATGTGTACAGTGATGCATCGCTAAGGAATGGAGTTTGAAAAACTCTCCTGTACTTATTCGAATATAAAATAAATATCCTCTCATTTACTGTATAATACAGTGGGACGTGACAGGAAGGGGAGAACATTCAAGTAATATGTGTGGAAAAATAAATGGATGAGGGGACGAGCGAAGATAAAAAAATAAAAGTGGGACATCAGGGAGAAAGGATCGCAAAAACGGGACCAAAGGGTCAGGAAAAGACGAGGGATGGGGAGGAAGAGGCTACATAAGGGCCTCGACGCCGTACGGAACAGGAGGCGGGGAGAGGGAAGGCATTTAAATTGGAGGTGGCCACACACGAGTCTCATAATTTATGATGATTTAAAGATATATAGATATGTAAATAATTAAAAACACAGATTTAAAGCTTTCGTGACTGCAGGGATTCATATTCTTGGTTCTTTCGGTAAAGTCCCTGGCGTCTACAAAACTAAGTTGCCTCTGTGGTAGTATTTACATTGGAGAAACCAAACGACATGTCTCGGACCGCATCCGTGAACACAAAGCAGACCTAAAACACGGTAGGACCAACACCTCGGTCGTGGCAGATCACTGCTATAATTCAGTAGGCTCACATGACATTGACTTCTCCGAGACAGAGGTTCTCTGCAAGCCATCTGGCTACCATGAGAGATTCGTTCATGAGGCTATCCACATATACAAACACAGAGACAATTTCAACCGAGAAGATGGATTCTGGCTTAGCAATCATTGGGAGGATTTGATAAACCATTTCGGTTGATTGTTGATTGTTCACGCTTACGCTGGCTTTCAGACCGCAACCATTATTTTCGTCTCCCCCCTTCTCTTTTCCGAACATAGATGGACTCATCCATCTGAATAACTGCCAAATCGCTCTCCGTGGTGCTAACGTTAAAAATAACCGCCACTTTTTTCAAATTTTCTTACTGTGGTTTTCACACCTGATCATGATTGCTTGTGTTGCAGTCGAAATGTCGTGAGAATTTTATTGTTTTATATTTTTATTATTTTATTATTTCCCTTCTACGTGACTTTACCGAAAGAACCAAGAATATAATTAAAACACGTTTATAGGTCCTGCTATTAAATGGGATGCGTTCTTTCATTAAACAGGTATAATTATATATTTTTTATTTAAAGCTTTCGTGACTGCAGTAATCCATATTCTTAACTCTTTCGGTAAAGTCACGTTGAAGGAAAACAATAAAATAAAATAAAAATATATAAAAAACAATAATTATTTTTATCTTTTAAAATATCCAATCGATTTTTTTTTACAAATCTGCCATATATTATTTTTTTTATTATCAAATGAACATCATCTATCGGAGCAGAATATCTCAATGGGAAGCCCAGTGGCTGAAATAACGAGATTGGTGTCATCTCGAGCTTTCGTTTCGTTGCCGCGGCTGCATGGCGCTGTCCGTGGTGCTGCTGACCGCTGTCCGTGGTGCTGAAACCTCTCTCCCACTCACAACCAACGGCGTCCGCTTGCTGTGGTTTCCCCGTTCGCCTCGTCGTGACGCGCACCAATCATCGCCCGCTCCGTGTAATACGAGCGGTGGGCGCTTAATAGCTACCAATAGGGAACTGTTCGCATGCCAATTTTTTGTTTGTTTAAACTGTTCATCAGAAATTTTTTTTTTCTTATCAGGCCCCATGGATGTACTCTGAATTTTGCTGTCTGAAACTCTTACCCAATCTTATGTCTCTGCTATGAAGAAGGACCATTTCCCAAAACGTCGCTTATTATGTTTTTTTTTTACATTTCAAGGTCACAGCGTTATTCGCGAATGTGTTGAGTTTTGTTGTTGTTGTTATTATTTTTTGTTATTCGTGCTCCTGAACCAATGCCAATGCAGTATCACCAAATCATCTGCCGGACGAGAGCGTCGTGGGGGCTGGTCAGTGCGGGTATGAGGTGGTCGGTGTGTATAGGATGCGGGAGCATACAAAGTACGTTACAACAATGGATTAATCTGCACTGCCATGTCGCCCGGCAGACGATGCCAACCGTTGGTGCATTCGTGGTCCCCCCATCCGAATACTATTTTGGCTCTAGCCTGCTTAGCTTCCGAGGACCTGGCACGCATAGTCAATGGCTTGCCTATGCAAATACTGTCTTAGAATTGACTGTACAATAGTACAATAGTTTGTAGTATCCGTATATGCGTGGTGAACGCTGGTGTGCACAATAGCGCAGCGGTGAATGTCAGCTGAACACCGCCTGAAACACCTCTAAGCCGACTCGGCATGAAACTGGTACCCGATCACTCTTCTTGTCACCGTCGTCACTCGAACGACACATGAGGCTGTGCGTGTGCGTAGCCCGGTAGGCTGGAAAGGGTGTAATCTTTCGTCTTAATATCCGCGCAATTGACAATTGATTCACCTTTTCCCCCATTAATTCTCAAGGCTGTTTACGTTACACTAGCAGAGCAATTGGCTCATTTGCAAGCGAGGAAACAATGTTCGCGACACGCAAGGTGATACATGCAATCAAGAGGTGATCCGGACCGACCCTGCGGGGCAACGCCGCAGCTGCTGTGAGTGTGTGCGCCGGGGGCATCTGATGGATGCCCCCGGACCAGCGAATCGAGTTATTTAATCAGCTTTTGGCGGCTTCGAATTGGATTCACTGGTTGTGGCGTGGAGTTTGAAAGGGGGGGGGGGGAAACAAGACGACCGCGGTGTTCAGTAAGTAAATAACTAAACAAGTGAATGCGCAGAGGCAGGGATTTTCCGCCGTGTTGAGTGCGATGTTGGAACGCTTTGTGCCTGCCTGACGGAGTGGCGAAGCATCGCAGAGAGATATCTTAAATGGGCGTGAGGTAGGTGGTGGAGACGCGGGGCTGGGAAACTAAAAAGTTGCACGTTTCAGTAGCTGCGAGGGAAATAAGAAAATGCTGATGCAGATCGCAGGATGCCAGAAAAATTAACAAAATAACTCAGCCAGTCTGCAGATGCTGCACGTTCCCTTTTTGACACAAGTGTCATACCGTGGTGGAGTGTTGGCGCAAGTGGGCTAGCACACTCTGCAGCAAACCCGGCGACCTGAGTTCAATTCCCGGCCACAGAAAACGTCAGCGGTGACTCATAATATCTTGAACCCTATGTTGGGTAACCCCCACCACCCCCCCCCCCCCAACCTATTTATTTTCATCAACTTGAAGTTTGGTCAAGCAAACCGCATAAGGAGGCCATCATCCAGCATTAGATTGACAAAGGGCTGTAAAGTGTTTTGTATGTATGTAATTCTTTATACTTCAATTAAACGCAATGTATTTAGTTTGAACTTCTTTCACACCGTACGTAGCCAATCGTAGGTGTTATAAACACTACTCTGAATACGTTAATAGATGGATGAATTCTGAGATTGGCTTCTGTAAGCAGTGCAAATGAAGGCATGCTTGTAATTTGTAAAAGGAGTCGTGACATTTTTAGCCGCTTTGTCATTTTTGTACAACGTTTGTATCTTATTTACTTGTGTATATTTTTTTCTGATTTCCCCTTGCTAAGGGAACCATGTGTCTCAATGGACTCTCACATAGTTGTAACTACAGGTTTGATGTCCTTGGCACATACCGAAATTTTCAGAAAATGCCAGTATGCAACCAAGATAGAAAGGAAGCTACTCAGGTATGCGGAAGAGGCAGGTAAATATATATCTTTTTTATTTTAAATTACAGCTTATGTTTTGCTCAATGTAAAACCACATTTCATAGAGTAGTCACTCGTGTTCCGGTTTCCTCTGAGATGTATAACACTGGTTAATCGACTGAAAATGTCTTTATATATATGTGTGTAGAAGACTGCAGAGCTCTGGAAAATGCTGCCGCTGGCTCTGGCTGCCATCTCCCTGGGTTTATGGTTTCCCGCACCACGAACGAAAACTACGGAGAGCGCCATAAATGTATTTTTACTAACCTTGTTGGGACTTCACAGTAAAGTGGAACCATCATCGCATGTTGTAGTGCATGATGCTGAGTGACAATATTGCCTTGGGCATATTGGAGTCCTTAAAAAGTAAATGAAATAAGCCCAGTAGCATTTGTCCAATTTGAACATATTGGACATTTTCACGCGACCTTTCGTACGTCCCCTTGTCACTTTTCACACCGCATGGAAGAGCGGCAAATCTCAGACGCTTCTCGCGGAATGCAATGTGCGAGTGGAATGCAGGAGGTGGGAATTGTGTTGCTGTTCGTGATGTGCGCTCAGGTTAAAACACCGGGGAAAAATCTACGTTGGCAGCGTCTCATTAAAATGCATCGGCAGGGCATGTCCTATTCCACACGTTCCGCGCGTTGCGAGCAAAATCCACAACGTAGCCAGGAATATGACAGCAGGGTTCCCACAGAGACAATTCCACACATTCGCACACTTGCAACACGAGGGCTGTTGTACTTTTAATCGAGGACGAACTCCAAAGTCTGGCTGAGCTGCTAGCTGTTTTCCTTGGATTAATATTAACGCAGAGCCGTCGCCCGCTTGCATAAATGGCCTGAATAATGGAGTTGAGCAGAATCAGAATCACAATCAGAGTATGTATTGACACTGGAGGAATCCGATGAGCTATAAAGCTTGCATTCATCGTTGTCCAGTAGAGGCGGGTAAGAACGTTACGACAACAAACTGTACAAAACATGACAATAGTGCAAAGTACAAGAGAAGTAAACAAATCACCCACACACAAACAAATACAACACAAAACCATCCCAATCCTACCAAGAAAAGCCCACTGGAGGTTTTCACTTATTTTTCAGAAGCAACCTGGTCACAAGTGATATCTCAACAAAGTGGCCCATCGTTTGTTCATTGATAGCACCAAAATAATCGAAATAATCTGAACGCTTGTTTGAATGAGATGAATATCGTTACCTTTGCCTACGACCAGGTCACACGGAATGCGCACGATCTCATAAGATCTCAGAAGCTAAGCAGTGTTGAGCATGGCTGGTGCTTGAATGGGTGACCGCTGTGAACAGCGTGTTGCTATAGGCTGCTGTGCGGCGAGGAGCAGAGAGCATTACATCCAAATCCATGGTCTCACTGTAGTTTCTTGAAACCCAAGTCTATGCTCGCTGCCTTGAAGCATCCTGCAACCTATCAGCGCGGTGGAATGTGGTCAAATAACCCCCACGGCCATCGATGTGTGGAGAGGCTCTCACCCAGCAGCCGGCCGGTAGAAGGGCAGTTTCATCTTCTCGTCCAGTCGGAGACGTCATGCAGCCCGGGGTGCTTAGAGAGAGAGCCCTTGTCAGCTGTGTCCAATTAATGTGAAAAGTATGAGAACCTATAAATAATTTAATTAACTGACATGGGTACATACGACACAGCTGTTCTTGGGTGGGTGTGTGGGGGGGAAGAAGATTTCGTCCGCTTTGTGTTTGCTATTCACGTTGAAAATTCGGAACGAGCCCCTCCTCGTGTGCTTGCTGGACATGCGAGGCATGCGCAACTTGGCGCACCGGGGTCCGAGCGCTCACCGTCCTTACCCAAGCGTGCCGGCAGCTGTTTAACGTGCGCCGCATAGCCCGCGCACAAGTGGAAAAATTCCGCCGGCATGGAACGCCGAGCCGCATCGAGGCCCCCTGAAGGAACGGGGTTTTGCTGCCCCTGCAATGTGCTAGAAATTGGGAACGAAAGAAAAAGGTGGCGTAGCTCTCCCTGAGCCGTTTGCAGCCTCAGCATCTGCCAGGGTCACTTTCACGAGACGCGTTCCGTCTGTTCGATGCCTTTGGCTGGAAAACCATTACGTGACGTCTGCAAAAATAATAATAATGGTTCAAGCTTCCCGATTGAATCGCCTAAAATACCAGAGGCTGAACATCACGGAGATGGACTGACACGGTACTGGGTATGATCTTTTGAAAAGAGAAGTGACAGCTCCTGGCAGCTTCCCGTAGGTAATAGAGGGAGGATGATGAGACAGTGCTCACAGACAACAAAGTGACAACGTACAAGTCACGATCTGTTCATCGGCGAAGCTTTTAAGAAGCACGGCCCCTGCACGATTACTTTGGTACCGGCTTTTGTTGCATTGCAGGACCACGCGAGATTTTTATCGGCTTGGGGAGGAAGGGGAGGTCTTCATGCAGCAGTGGCTTGATCATGGCTAATGGTAATGAGTGGTTTGTGAGAGAGGGTATGAGTGATTGGGGGGTGAGAGGGAGGTTCGAGAACATGTGTCTGGGTCGTGTGTCACGGTGGTGTAGGAGTGTGTGGGTTATTAAATTATACAAATGCATCCCCCCTTTTTCTTGCACTGAGAGCATCCATCACTAGTCAATGCCAAGCACGGACGCGCGCCCAGGCTTTGAAAGATGCATGCGTGACAGATGTCCAGGTGTTGGGGCTCACGGAGCTTTGTGCGAGCAGATGTTGGGGTGCGTGAGCACGTGCGTGAATTTGGGAGCATTTGGTCAGGGTAGGCCAAAGCTATTGAGTCACCCGGCAATGTTCCTGAGACTTTCTCACCCACCCCCCGGCTTCATTTACCTGTGTGTCTCGCAATGATTCACGCATCGCGCTGAGGAGCACAACGTGTGTCCACAAACAATTCGCTATTATGGCTATTGACTTATGCAAAGCATTGAGATCAAAGACTTTACAAATACATTTCTGGCGATTCTGATTTTTCTAAAATACGCTTCATGGTTTGGTTTGTTTCTTTGCCGTTTAATAACGCATAACTGTGACATCTTACCCCAATCGAAGGATACTTAGGGGTCGCTGCAGTGGTCCTTATTTAAGCGTCCTTATTTTAAATAAGGACTATGGTTTTTACAAGGGCCACCCGAATGTGTATACAGGGTGCTTTAAAAAAATATTAACACTTCCGAGAATTTGCAACAACCCCACGTGACACGTGCTGCCTCCTCCGAGCTCTGGAGACCACCTGGAGAAGATTCCAGGCCACGTGTTGACAACGATGGCGAACAAGTGGGAGACTCTTTGAAGCTATTAACATTACATTTGTTATCATGTTACAGTGTATATTATCATACTTTTTTCCATTAAAAACGATAGTCCAATGTAAATGTTAACATTTTTTTAAAAGCACTCTGTCTATAGATTACTTATGCGTGTGATTATAACGCTTGGCTGATGCACACAAGGACGTGAATACCTCTTTGAAGAGCAGCAATTCAATTGCGCTCACAGCCTCTTAAAAATGAACTCATGCGGTTTCCACGATGCCTTCGACAGAATTACGGCGGGGGATGATGCTGATGATGACGACGACGATTGATGTAAATGACAAAGATGACATTGGGGAGGGGGGGGGGGGGGTTGGTCTTCGGAGAGGCACTCTGCACCATGTCACTGAGAGGGCTGCGTCACATTGTCCCTACAAATAGTTTTAAGACTTTACCCCACCCCCACTCTCCCCCCCTCCCCCGCCCTTCCCAAATCGTGTTTTTGGGCACATCACCAACGTGGTGTCTGGAGATGGAGGGAGTCGTTCGAAAATCTCACGGAGCGTGTTGGAGAACGGCCCGGGGGAGCGATTTTGGTCCAGATGTCGGAGAACACTCCTTGATTCATGGCCTCGCTGTCCTTTGCACAGGACGAGGTGAATTTCCCCACACGCTCTGCTGTGAGACTGTTTGGCAGTATGACGGTGAAACTGATAGTATTAAAATGTTTTTGTCGTACTCGGGGCTGAGATATCGACCCAAATAAAATCTGAATGTCTTTTTTTGGTGTTTCGGTCCATCCATTGTTGACGAAACTGAGACCATCGACTCTCTGCGCCAGAAAAAAAATTCACGGTTTAATCACGGGCGGTTGCAGCCTGGACTCCAAATGGAGTATCTCATACTATTTGGTTATTTCGGTAAAGTCAGGTAGATATAAATAATAACTAATATTGGAGAGTCTCAGTCGCGCCAGCTCGGGAACCTGAGAGCGAGCCGGTCACATCTCTATTTGCGAACGGTTTTTGAAAAAAAAAAACGCTTACCGCCGGTTACGGGAAATCAGCTTCTGCACGTCCGCACAATGCGCCAATGCTCCACATCTTCACGCGTTCAAAGGTGGGGGCACTTTCATTTTGCGCGATTTTAGCGACCGACGTGAAACGAAACCGGATTCGAGCGGTTGCTCCCTACAAGTCCTCGAATGTGCCCGTCCGCACGGTGCCGCTGGGGGTTTTGTTGTTGTTGTTGTTGTGAATCCGACGCAATGCAGCCGCCCACGTGGTCTCGTGCACGATGATGGATGGACAGCGACGGGGCGCCTCTCGGTAGATCCTCTGAACGAGACGGGGTGAGCCACCCGGGCTCAGCAAGGGGGTGGGGGGGGGGGGGCGTTACGAGCTGGTCCCTAACTGACAGCAGCTGCTCCCCATGCCTCAGGGTCCGTCATAGAAAAGGAGACATCTCGAAGCCTGCCCTTGCTAAAAAAAACAAAAAACGAAAATCCGAGTGCAAATGGCTCGCTAAGTGTGTACAAGTGCGTGTGCGTGCGTGCGTGTGGTCGTGTTTGTGTGTGTCTGTGTGTCCTTTGTGTCTGTGTGTGGAGCGGTGGTGAATTGCTTTGCGCACCAAACTAAGAACCCGGCGGGCACGAGTTTGATTCCCGCTCAAGAGACCAATAATAATGGCGAATATAAAACATCGTGGTCCTGGGCCTCCCCCAGGAAGACTCGGCCTCAAATGAGTACCTGGTGGACAAAACTTGCCCCAAAAGTCTATTAAGGCTATAGGGGTATCTTTATCTTTTGTTTGTGTTTGGGTCCAACGGGAGTGTATTGCTTACTTGGCTACCACCTGGGCAGACATGACATCGGCTCTTATACCACAGTTTACATCAGCGGCGATTCATCTGAACCGGACCTCGGCCTCCCCTATGTCGACTCAGCCGTAAATGAGTACCTTAATCGGTGTGCAAATCATTGGCATACGTGTAGACAGGCGGTCGATTGTGGTAGTGACCACACCACTGCCTCGTATGCTGTGTCAGCCTTAGTCGGTGCTCGCTAACAGCCTGTGAAATCCCTATGTGGGAGCGGCTGTCTTTTGTCTTTGTTTTTTAAATTAAAGAGCCGGTTCTCAGATGATGAAATGTATTAGGGGAACACATCCTACTGATATTGCAGCTGTTGAGAATACCGGGGCAGATTGCTGTAGACTTTTGGCTTGATCCGTTTAAGGGTTTTACATATGCAATACATTTCTTTGCGGTGACATTAAAATTTGAAAATAAAAATTAGCCGGATTTATTTTGCATATTGAAAGTAGAAATCCATATTAAGCTTCTCAAGCATAGGTGCGGGATGAAATGTAATTTAACTGTACATTGTGTGGCTACAAGTCATATACTGTTGCCATCCTTTAAGCCTAAATCCATGAAACAAAAATCCAAAACGGAAAAAAAAACATTTAGATTTTCGGGGTAAGTGTTATTTCTGTACTCTGTCATGGAAGGATTCAAAGCCTGGCAAAGCAAGATTCACTTCGTTTTTATTTTTTTCCGCCGCTGTCTCATATTGATCTTGACCTTTACACTTTAACTTATTAGTCACAATGCCTGTCAGTTTATCATGTCAGCGCTGTTTGCTGTATCTCCTAGCTCACGCGCACACATATATTATACATAACGCCCCATTGAAGTTGAAGGCAATTTGCTTACAGAGGCGTGTGCACTCTACAGAGGGCTGACCTTATCTTTATGGAATATGTAAAAGGTAAAGGCGCAGCCCTGATCTTGCCTCGTGGAAGGACCTCCACGACACACACAGAGAGAGAGTGAGTGCTCTCTCGAGAATAGTTTGGCCCACTCTCCTACACTGGGCCACATGTCTCGAGGCAGAAGTAATCACAATTGACCCCACCGTAGGTGACCTGCCCATCGGCTAACTGCTGTGTAACCCATTAATACCGCTGGGTGAAAACGAAAGATTGAATAACCTTTTTGGTATTCTTTGGTTCTATCGGTAAAGTCACGTAGATAGAAAAACAAGAATGAAAATAAACCTTTTTGGATTCCACCGTTTCAACCGCCAATGCTGGAAAAAAAATCCAGAATCGAACCGGCGATCCACTGGATTGCGAGTCCTGTGTCGCTAACCACGAGACCGTGGCAGCACACCGTGATTAGATCTAAATAAAGGTGTAAACGTGCATTAGGCACCTCCACCGGGCGCCCGCGCGCACGCCGAGGTTCCTAATGAATGCGCAGTCACGCTGCGCGTGAGCGCGCATCAGCGCCACAGACTTGTCTCCACCGCAGATCGATCTGCTCGAGCACAGACGCATTCCGGTAATGCATCAAGGCTTTCCCCGCACAAATGTGTGTGTGTGTGTGTGTCCGCCTTCACTTCCCCTCACCCACGCTCTCTTGCCCCTGGTGATCCCTCCCTTTGAGCGCGTCTTGTAATCTTCACCTGGCTCCTGATCCACCATGGAAGGCTAACAAAGGCTACGGAAGCAACTCGCTCACCGATGTTTGTGCGCCAAGTCGACGGGCGGTGCTCGCGGCTCTTCCAAGACGTCTGGCCAGCGCCGATATACTGGACCCGCTACGGTGAGTTGTCCAGAGGAGGCCCTTCCGTCAGCGGTGACCGCGAGCGGGCACTTGCAGGGGCGCACCTCGACCTATTTACCTATTGCCGTGTACACGTGCAGCTATTTTTTTATTTATTTTGTCAATCCACTGCTGGACGAGGGCCTCGTTACACCCTGTGGGTCGTGGGGGGGTTTATACGACCGCACTTTCAGCACGCTGGTCAGTGCGGGTTGCTTAAGAGGTGGGGAATCTGAGACATGGGTCTCTATAAGTACAGCACAATACTAGATTTGAAGCTTTCGTGACTGCAAGGATCCATACTCTTTGGTTCTATTCGGTAAAGTCACGTAGGTAACAAAAATAAAACAACAAAAATCACGACGTTTCGGCCACAACACAAGCGGCCTTCATCAGGTGAAGGGGCCAGACTGTCTCGAGGACAGCGCTGGAGTGGACACAGCCAAGCTCAGACCGCGACCTTTAAGCTGTGTGAGAGGAATCAAGGTGCCTTGACAAAGGAATTAGCATAAAAAATTAGCATTTAATTGGCGGACTTAGCATGATGAAAGGTGAACATGTGCAGGTCGGCGAGGGGGGGGGAGGTGTGAAAGGGAAGAAACGGGAAGCACGAAAATTTGGGGTACCACTACTTGAAAAAATATACTGTACCATTGAAAATTAGTTTAATGTTTGGTTCGATTTAGAACATCTTTTCAATGGTTGCTTAATTTGAAACCATCTTCTCGGTTGAAATTATGTCTGTAAATCTGAATTGCCTCGTGAACAAATCTCTGATAAAAACCCGTGGGATTGCAATAGTGGTTAGGTTTGCAATAGTGGTTGTATTTTTCTCCGTTGGCCTCTTGCTGACCACCACTTGGCAGAGGCCTGCAGCTGCCTATCACATCCTGGCATGCATAGTGAGTGGGTCACCTATCCTTGCACTACCCAGGCTCAACCCCGCAACATCCGAGCTCTGATTTAAATCTGTCGCATTGCCGGCGATTAATCCATCGACACGTACGAAGTGTACACTATTACTGGTTGGAACCCCCTGGTTACACCACCAGCCCACAGGGGATTATTGTGTCCATCCGTCGTGCATCCAAAAATGGGAGGGGTGGGGCTGGGTGGAGAGGGGAGGGTGGGGAGGGGCTGGGGAGGGAGGGGCTGGGTGGGGAGGGTGGGGCTGGGTGGGGAGGGTGGGGAGGGGCTGGGTGGGGAGGGTAGGGCTGAGTGGGGGATGGGAGGGGTGGGGCTGAGTGGGGAGGGGCTGGTCACCCCGTGGTGCCCTTATAAAACTCAACGTTTAACCTACTCATGCCGGCTTGTGCCCACCCTTACAGTCGGGCATATTTACGGAATACACCACGTGGTGCCGCCGTTGACCCTGGCCATTGACCGAGCAGCCCAACGTTCCTACTACCAGCTCCCTCCGCAGGATTGTGTTATCCTGTTGCATGCTTACCCCTTCCTTGCGTTGTCTTTTATTGAAGACCGCTCGCCCAAAAGGTTTATTCCGCTGACCGGCGATCGCGTTGCGTTCGTCGAAGCTCAAACTTATCGTAGGCAGCGCCCCTCGCTCTCGAATTCGCATGCTGTCTGTTTATTTTACATTATGGACAGCGTCATTCCCGCTCGTCACTGCGGGTCAAGCGGGCGAGGCCGCTTTTGAAGCTTCAAAATAGAAGGACACAACAACAACAACAAAAGCAACGACTGCTGTTGCTTACCGTGCCACGTCCCTCGTAACCCCCCAACCCCCCTCCACGCGCCACATGTCACCACTCTTCTCTTGCACTGCGTGGACACGCGTTGTGCATTCGACTGTCATTTACGCACCACGAGGACAGAGGCGGCCTCAACACACGGTTGCGACGTTGGACAGCGCTTCCTTGCTACCCATCTTGTGGTTTTGTTTTTCAGTTTGCTTTCTTTTGTGACGTTGTTGACGTTGTTGTTGTTGTTTTGTTTGTTTGCTGCTGGGGGGAAAAGAGGGGCGCGGTGGTGAGCGTCTCGTGCATTGTGAACCCAGCAGGCATGATTTTAATTCGCAGCCGCAGCTGACATCAGTGGTGAGTGATACATCTTTGCCTGGTCGTGGGCTCTCTTCTGATCCACCATACCGGCACTGACCAGCGTGGCGAAGCATGGTCAAACAAAAACCCTCATGCCCAATACGGCATGGGGCAGGTCTCTCCATCCAGCGATGGATTGACAGAGGTCTATAAATTGTATATTATTATTATTATTATATTTTCATTTTGGTAGCTTATTACAGCATCCGATGTGATACTTAACAAGGCGTTTGCGTGTTCTCCCCCTGGTTGCGTGGATTTTTCTCCGGGTCCTTTGGGTTTTCTCTCCACATTTAGAACCAACGTGCGTTTAGAGTATTTGGCTGCTTTACATTTCCACGTGATAAGCAACTTCGTTGAGCTATCATTTTGTGACCAGGTCGCTTCTGAAAAAGAGCTACATAGCTCCTGTGGGCCTTACCTGTTACAAAAAAAATTTGCTTATCTTAGTTTTAAAATATGTATTCACTCAACACATTGAAAGCATTATCACGATTACAAAAATAAACTGGCATCGGTGGATATGTATTTGTCTGCTTTTGCGCACGCGTGTCTTCTCTTGAATACGTACGCTTAGTGTCCGCTTGGTGTTCCTCCCTGGCCTGTACGAGTCCTGCCTTCAATGTCCCTTTCCCTTCGCCAGCCCCCTGCATTACCCCACCCCCCAGCACCACTCCCTCCCGCCCCCCGCTCGGTGCTTGATGCAGCGTGGAAAAATCGGTGATTGAAGGGGAGCCACCGCCGCTCCATAAGAAAAAAAATAATCTGTCGCGTAGCGCTCCGGCATGCAAAGTTCCACCGACGCGATTCGCAGCCGGCATGGGGAAAAAAGCACGATCAGCCACGCGGTCTATAGGGATGGGGACGTGCAGTGCCGGATTATCCGAGTAGCAAAATTGCTACATATGTACAGTGAGGGAAAAAAGCATTTGATCCCCTGCCGATTTTATACGTTTGCCCACTGACAAAGAAATGATCAGTCTGTAATTTTAATGGTAGGTTTATTTGAACAGTGAGAGACAGAATAACAACAATAAAAATCCAGAAAAACGCATGTCAAAAATTTAATAAATTGATTTTCATTTTAACGAGAGAAATAAGTATTTGACCACTCTGCAAAACAGGACTTAGTACTTGGTGGCAAAACCCTTGTTGGCAATCCCAGAGGTCAGACGTTTCTTGTAGTTGGCCACCAGGTTTGCACACATCTCAGTTGAGTTGATGCCGGCGAGTTGAGTTGATGCCAAAGAGCTTAATTTTGGTCTCATCTGACCACAACACTTTCACCCAGTTGTCCTCTGAATCATTCAGATGTTCACTGGCAAACTTCAGACGGGCATGTATATGTGCTTTCTTGAGCAGGCGCTGCAGGATTTCAGTCCTTCACGGCGTAGTGTGTTGCCAATTGTTTTTTTGGTGACTATGGTCCCAGCTGCCTTGAGATCATTGACAAGATCCTCCGTGTAGTTCTGGGCTAATTCATCACCGTTCTCTTGATCATTGCAACTCCACGAGGCGAGATCTTGCATGGAGCCCCAGGCCGAGGGAGATTGACAGTTATTTTATTATTCGCACCAACTGTTGTCACCTTCTCACCAAGCTGCTTGGCAATGGTCTTGTAGCCCATTCCACCCTTGTTTAGGTCTACAATCTTGTCCCTGACATCCTTGGAGAGCTCTTTGGTCTTGGCCATGGTGGAGAGTTTGGAATCTCATTGATTGATTGCTTCTGTGGACAGGTGTCTTAAAAATAGGTAACAAGCTGAGATTAGGAGCACTCCCTTTAAGAGTGTGCTCCTAATCTCAGCTCGTTACTTGTATAAAAGACACCTGGGAGCCAGAAATCTTTCTGATTGAGAGGGGGTCAAATACTTATTTCCCTCATTAAAATGCAAATCAATTTATAACATTTTTGACATGCATTTTTTCTGGATTTTGTTGTTGTTATTCTGTCTTTCATTGTTGAAATAAACCTACCATTAAAATTATAGACTGATCATTTCTTTGTTAGTTGGCAAACGTACAAAATCAGCAGGGGATCAAATACTTTTTTCCCTCACTGTAGCTACGGGCCCCGCACTTTCAAGGGCCCCGCGCTAAATGCTTTCAAGCTATCAATTCCGTTTCAGTGATTCTACACTTGCTCTATTACTATAGTATTATACCGCCTTCAACTTTTATGAACGACTGAGTGTTTAAGGTTAGGGATTTGTCGTATTATCTGGCTGTATAGCAAATGAAAAAATACAGTAACTTTACTATGCAAATTCAAAATTCGTCTTTTAATATTTACGTTTTTTTTTAAATTAGTTCCCCTTCATAACATCATGCTACAGGCCCCGCACTAGCTTCATCTGGCACTGGGGGTGCGCAATGTTTACTCGCGCCAATTCCAACTTTCGTCATTATTTTTGGGAGCAGAGGCAGCAGCAATGAAAGATGAGAATGGAGCTTGGTGGGGGGGGGGGGTGTGACCAAAGTTTTCAGTTGTGCTGGATTACGTCCCTGCCTGCGCCGGGTGCAATATCGCTTGAATTTAAAACAAAACAAAGTTTGTTCATAAATAAGATTGGAGTGGAGTCCTCATTACATTTGAGGGTGGGGGCTGAGGGGAGGCAGTTGCGCAGTGGATAGCGTACAGGCCCCAAACAGCTCAACACGCCAAGCAGCCAGCAACAAACAGCACCGTTGAGTACTAAAATGGATGAGTTATTCCCGGCCACGACTAACATCAGTGGTGAGTGATATCTGACCTGGTCATGAATCAACCCCCGCCACATCCCCTCGTTCACCAACCTTCGGCTAAGTATGGTCAAACAACCCTCATGAGTTACGCAATATCGGTTTTTTTCATCAATGAACTTGATAAATGGGTGTAAATCAATATCATAATTAGTTTTTTTGTAAGGCTTGAAGAAACTTGACCTTCGTTTCAACTTCG